CTTNGGAGGAGTAGGCGTGGAAGACGTGGTCTTCATCTCCTCATCTCCTCAAAAGGAGGGTCGTATGCCGTACTGTGGGTTTTGAGCTTCGTGAAGGGCTTCTAGGAGTGCGAAGTTTCAGGTTGTGTGGGTGGGGGGTTGGGGTGGGGGGGTGCACATATCAGAGTGATTTGTAGTCCTGCCCCTACCGCCCCAAACACACATGCACTGCCTACAACTTCGCTCCGTTTGCCTTGCGGCCAGATTCTGAGCCGTACAGTACTGTGCCTGGATCGTCCCGAGTACGGCACTGTATCTCTCCAGCTTGAAGGCATCACAGTGGAGGCTCAAAGAGCGGTGGCGGCCATCACCATCCAAGTATGTCTGTATGTGTATCTGTATGTTGTATGTGTATGTGTATGTGTATCCGTATGTGTATCCGTATGTGTATCTGTATGTGTATGTGTATCTGTATGTGTACCTGTATGTGTATTTGTATGTGTATCTGTATGTGTCTGTGTGTGTATCTGTATGTGTCTGTGTGTGTATCTGTATGTGTATCTGTATGTGTATGTGTATCTGTATATGTCTGTGTGTGTATCTGTATCTGTATCTGTATATGTCTGTGTGTGTATCTGTATGTGTCTTGTATATGTATGTGTATATGTATCTGTATGTGTATCTGTATGTGTATGTGTATATGTATCTGTATGTGTATCTGTATGTGTATCTGTATGTGTATCTGTATGTGTATGTGTATGTGTATCTGTATGTGTATCTGTATGTGTGGCACAAGAACTGAGTCGCGAGTGTGAGTGTTTCAGGACAATGCCTGTGGTGTGGGTGTGGTATGTATGTGTGTATGTATGTGTTTGTATGTGTGTATGCTTGTGTGCCTTTGGGAGCCACTTGGTGCTATGCACAGCACGTGTGATGATATTGTTGTTGCTGAGGCACAAATGACCCTTTCCACTCCCGCTTGCTTCCCCTTGCGGCCTCAGCATATGAAAATCGCAACTCACAACCCCCTTCCTCAGGCTGTATGGCGGGGCTACCAGGTCCGAAGGGCCTCATACGCCGCCGCGCTCGCTTCCGGGGGGAACAACCGCTGGCTGCGCTGTTGGCGGATTGTACGGCACCTGCGGCGGCTTGCCGTGATGCGCACCCTGGCAGCTGACTTGGACATCAGTCGTGCTCAGAGCGAAATGGAGCGGGGCTACCTGCGAATGTGGGTTTGGGTGTGGGTGTGCGGGAAAACTTGTTGTTGTTGTTGTTGTTGTTGTTGTTGTTGTTGTTGTTGTTGTTGTTGATGGGGTGTTACACTGTGGGGGGCGGCTCTCGTCCCGAGAAAGGACCGAGAGCACCGTGGGGGGCCCTGACCGGGGGCCGAAACACAGCGCAGGGGCGGGCACGCGGCTCTACGTCCGTCTGTTCCTCTCCACGCGCGCCTCACTCCCTCACTCACGCCAGCCGGGGCGCTCTCCCAGCCCCTGGCTAGGCATCACAGCGGCTCAAAAGACGGCAAACCGAACTGTTGTTGTTGTTGTTGTTGTTGCGTGGGGCCACCAGGAAGGGGGGGTAGAGGAGAGACTAGGAGCTTGTTGGGGAAAACGTGCGTAAGGGGAGTGTGTTGTTTGTTGGCGTAAGAAAAAAGGGGAGCACGCGCTAAGCAAAACACACGGTAAGCGGCAAAAAGTTAAGCACGCCACAGCGCCAGCGACACTCGCTGCTATGGCGGCAGAATCACACATTCTGATCCTTCAACACGTTTACGGCCATCTCCTCAACCCCTGGGCCTTCCCCCTTATTGCCGTACTCGCCATCCTTGATGTGCAGGTTGTACGGTCCCAACGCCGCGTAGGAGGCATATATACACACACAGACACACAGACAGTGCAGTGAAGTAGAGGAGCCTCAATGGAAGGTTGCAGTGGCAGCGGCAACAGCAGTTGACGAATCATACGAGTACGACATCCACATAATTGGGTCAATGATTGGTGTAATGATGATGTTTGTGATGGCCTTTTGGTACGCTTCTTAGTGTGCTTTATGGTGGTGGTGGTAATGGTGGTGGTGATGATGATGATGATGATGGCCACAACGTTTGAATTTTGTTATTCTCGCCGTGCTTGATGTGCGTGTGTGGTATGGAAGGCTGTCGCAGCAGCAGTTGCAGTAGCAGTAGCAGGGGCGGGATCGGCGCCCGTTACTTTGGCGCAGTGTTGATGACTTACTTTCGCTCTTTGATTGGTGGGTTGGTGGACCTCTCCGGCCGGGAAGGACAGCTCGTGCGGCAGCCGCCACAACTCCCCCAGCCAACGGACCCAGCAGCAGCAGCTGGCAGCAGGCAGCTCTTGGTTGGGAAATGCAAAAGTACCAGTCAGGCCGATAGCAGCAGCTGCCTGATTTCGACTCTCAGCAGGACTGCATACGTCTGTACGTGTGTGTGTGTGCGTGTGCGTGTGTATCAATGTATCTGTCTGCGAATTACGCCCGGAGTTGCGTTACTCTCCAAAGGTGTAACCTGGGGGCTCTTCCTTTGATTATGTCCTATAGCCTTCATGGCTTGCTGTACGGTTGTGTTCAGGGTGTCGGATAGGACAGGGTGAGGCGGAACCGGGGCTGCCAAGGGCCTTACACCACTGCAGAGGGAAAAGATAATAGGAGGGGCCCCCCTGGCGCCCTATAGCTCAGGCGAGGGCCAGGTTGCGTGTGGCTTCCAGTGCGGCATCGTCTTCCAGCTGGGTGTATAGCTGCGCCATTGCGTACGTCTTCCAGCGGCCGTGGGCCTTGCGGGCCTCTTCATGTACCCCTCTGGCTGCTGCCGCACTGTTTCCCCCGATGCGCATGGAGTGCGGCATGATTCCGCGCTTGATGCCCGCAGCGCTGCACATGGCCGCGAGCTTCTCCCGGAAAGAGGTGTAGCTGAGGCTGCTGATAGGTGACTGAACAGAGCCGGTCCTCTGCTGCAGCTGGTGGCCTTGCTGTATCACCTTTACCCTGTTTTCATGCTGGGTGCTTTGTGGGGGAGGGGTGGCCTGTGAAAAAGAAGTGGCAGGCAATAGCAGCACTTGCCCCCACGAGACATGACCCGGGCCTACATCGTCTGCTTGCGTGGTTTGGTAGGTCTATATCAGGTAGATAGCCACTATCTCTGGCCTGATATCGTAAATGTCGCTCGCCCGAATGTGAAGTAGCTCTGCCCAATCCAGGAAATCCCGCCATGGCTCCTTGGTGCTGGGCGACCGGTGCTGCTAGCTCGCGCCTTGTGCACCTGGCTTGCAATGCCAGAGCGAGACCCCCGATGATTGGGTTGGTGTCCAAGGGCACCTGGCCAAGAAATGTCTATGCGCGTGCCTTAACTGCAGTGAAAGCCGGGGGGGCCATAAGGGTCAGGGGACACAGTGATCCTGTGCAGGGAAGGGGTTTGGAAATTGACAAGGAGTGCAAGCGACCAGCAGCCCTTTTTGGGACCTCGTTTTCCGAAGACCCTGACAGGAAGAGGTCATACGCCTTGCCCAGCTCTCTTAGGCCGTGGACGCAAGGAGCAAACCACTTCCCGTCTTGAGTCAGATAGGACCACCAGTCGCGCGTTGGCCAGAGGGGAACGATCAGGCAGATGCGCGCCTTGTACAGTTCTGCATGTCACAGGACTTCAAGTAGCAAACAGAAACGCGGGTTCGCCCAGCACTTCCGGCCCCAGTTGAACCGAAAAGCATCCACGCCCATGGTGCCCGGCGTGAGGAAGCGAGATTAGTAGCGGCAGCTGGTGGTTAGTGTGGATGCGAAAAGATAAATGTCAAACGAACCCCAGGCAATGTTGTGCCTTTGAAATTCCTTAAAATTCACCATCCAGTCATCCCGATCCTGCAGCTTTGAGAGGTAGTCGGCCAGAGTGTTTTCTTCTCGCGGCCGCCACTCCGCCTGCAGTGTGATACCCTCGGCAATACAGTACCAAAAGATCTTGCAGGCAATCAGGTACGAGTCCTCGGCTTTTGCGGACCCTTTGTTGAGGACGTCAGCGCAATTGAGATTGTCGGTAATCACCCGAAGGACTTGGTGCCGTAGGCCCACAGGGCCGTGGAAGGATTGCAGTGCGTGTAGGACTGCCTGGAGCTCCTGGGGCGTTGACCCCATCGAACTGACCCTTTCCCCCCACCTACCGCGGTCTTGGGCCATCTTCCAGTTGATCAGCGTCCAGGCACCCCAACCCCCGAGGTGCTTGGGGGATTTCCCGGCTGCATCACAGAAAACGACCGAGTGCACCTGTGTGGGTGCCCAGAGGGCACGGGTCGAAGCAGCGCAGCCAGAACCGGAGCTCTGCAATTGCGTCGCTAGACAGGCGGAAGTGGGCATCGAACAGGTAGGGCTCAAGGTTCTGCCCCAGAGCCCGGGTGTGAAGGCGGGTTACTGGCCCGAAAGCCCGGGACATGGACAAGAGCTACCTTTTTATGGAGGCCAACTTTCTCGCCTTGGTGCACTTTTTTTCCAGAGCCGTGCGGATGCAATCGAGCAGGAAAGAGTGCTTGTCATTGGGCATGTGTACACACCCGTAGCTGTATCTAACAGCATGCCCAGATAAATAACACGCTGCTGGAGCGCACCCAGCATTGACTTGTTGCGGTTCACGCAGAACCCCAGGCGCTCGAGGAGGTCGAGGATCATTGTGCAGCGGGCGATGAGGGTCTGTGTGCCCTGGTGGGTGGGTGTGGATCTGATCGTTGATGTATCCTGAGCACTGCCAGCCCTTTCCGTCTCCAAGTCCACATGATCTCATGTATGAGCTTGGTGAATGCCCAACAGGCGGAGGCAAGGCCAAAAGGGAGTTGGGTGAAGATGTAGAACTGGCCTTGCCATTCAAATCCAAGGCCGCACCAGTCTGCTTCTCTTACGTCTACATGGTGGTAAACAGACTTCAGGTCCAGGGTAAACATGTATTCCTTTGGGCCTAGCCAGCCTGGAACCTGCACGAGCGACTCATAGCGGAACTCCGGGATGTGCAGAAGGTTCTTACTGACTTCGTGTCCATCCCAGATGGGGCGGAGCTTGCCTTTCTGCTCTACCACTCCCAAGAGGCAGGTCATAACAGGGCGGGACTGGCAAGGTTTGATGGCCTCTCCGACTCCAGCTTGATGGCAGATGACACGAAATCCCTGTGGTCCTGTGTGGATTGGTGATTCCTACCCCGGTACAGCCGAGGGGATGGTCCTGAGTGCCACAGCAGAGGAAGCCCTTGCAGGACCCAGCTCAGCACGAGCTGGTTGACCAGTATCGCCTTCCAGACCGCGGCATAGGCTCTCAAGCGTCCCCGCATCTTACACCTATCACTACTACCCGTGTTGGGAGGTGCAGCTTTACAAGGCGGGTCATCGGCCAGAGGTGTTGGGTTCTCACTTTCTGGGGCCACTCTTTCACTCCACAATGTGGCTCCTGGGGCCAGATGGGGCTCCTGGGCTTGCCGGACGTTATTGGTCTGGGGCCAGGTGGGCTCTGCGGGCTGGGTGCAGGACGCTTGGCGGTGTTCTTGGTCTCCACTTGTGCGTCACCTACCGGGGGCTGCATGGGGGCAGGGGCTCTAAATCCCGTAGCCACGAGCAGTGCACCCAGTAGTTTGGCGGCCGTGCTCCCTGCATGGAAAGAGACAAAGAATAGTGCCTTGAGCTTGTGGCTACTGAAGCTACAGAAGACCGAAGGGGGGAAAGCCGCTGCCCCCGGGATGACAGCACCCAAAGCAGGCAACATGGAGGCGGCCTGCACCACAGGGGCCACCAGAGTCCCCCAACCTGTTCGATGCATCTTTGTCGCTGTCGAGTACATGCGTGAAAAAATTCTCCGAAGGAAGAAAGAACAGCTCCAGTCCGAAGCCGGCCACCTGGTCCTGGAAGCCGCCATGGTCAACACTGTTGGTGTGAAGGGGTGCCATGTCGCCCCGTGGCCTGTGGAAGGCCGCACATCAGGCTGTTGTGGGTGGCGGGCTGGCAGGTCCTGGAATACTGACAGGTCTCCCATCAGGACGGGCTACCCAAGCCTTAAAGCCTCTACTGTGTACCGGTAACAGCACCTCAGATTCATACGTTTTACACCCAAGCAAGGGGCTATCGGTGGCAGGTCGCGGAGCTCCCAAATACGTGTAACGGCCAGCAACTCTTAGCCGTGTCTGCTAGGTCCCAGAGAGACACCGTCTCACCAACAGGTTATGAGCCCCGGGTAACGGTTCCCGGTGGCTACTATCTGAAGTTGCTTCAGCTTGAGCAGTCACACTAGGCCACCATCATGGGGAAGGGATGTAAGACCGTCATCCTCTCGGATGGGTTGAATTACTCCCAGTGGCTCGGTGACTTTGGCGACTTCCTCACAACATCCAAGTTGAAGAGCTACATCACCAACCCGTCGCCTCCGGGCCGCAACACCCAAGACACCCTGCAGGAGGACGCACAGGCGCTCGGCTACCTGCGTCTGTCCTGTGAACTGCCCATCAAGCAGTTGCTCAGGACTTGCCAGACCACTCTCGCCGCTATGCAGCAACATTCCATTCTGCATCCCAGGCCCGGCTGAGCCTGTTGGAGCCACAGAAGCAGCTGAGCATGCATGATGGGGAGACGACCGCTGACTTCATTCAGCGGGCAGAGCAGCTTCACAGTGATATAATCACGGCCAGCGGCCCGTGGGACGACAGCATGATGCACCATGCCATTCTCCATGGCCTGCCGCGGTAGTACACCATCACCATCAAGTTCGTGATGTATCAGCCCAACTTGACGATCGATCCCTCAGCTCGTGCTCATGCTGCAGGAAAAGGAGAACAACCTCAAGGCAAAAGCAATCGAGACCGGCCTGGAAGGAGCTGTCAGCCCTGGCCGCACCACCCGTGGAATCCGTGGCCCCTGGGGTGCCGTGGGGCCCGACGGCCCCTGCCGCTACTGTGGACAGCCTGGTCACTACGTAGGAGGCAAGGACAACGGGGGACAATTTGGCCAACACAGGAGCCACTGAAGCTGCCGGCGACGGGACATGGGGTCAGTTGCTGCCGTACGCACGTGTTTTGTCGATGCACAATCGTATGACGCGACAGCGAGCTGACCAGGAACTAAGTTGAGGCGCCGTTGATCCGCTAGATTTGGTTGGATGCTGGTGGTGAGTTGCCGAACCCAAAGAGTACATTCTGAAGTCGGATGGAGTGAACGGAATAGGGTGCCCCTCTAGCAGGGGAAAGCAGGGAATTGCCTCGGGAAGGAGGTCATTTGGTGAAGCTGTACCACCTTGTAACAACAACTTAGCTTAGAGGCTATACTCGCTTCGCTCCTGCCGCGTCTAAGTTACAATCACTAGCGAAGAGGGAACACATGTTTTTACCTAAAATCTTTGAAAACCCCATAACAACCTCATGCCATTTTTGAGTTTTAGTTTTTTCATTTGCAGAACCTCCATCCATCGATATACAGTTTTTCAATTGCAGGACTTCGAATCTATGAATGTACGATGAATGCTAACCAACAACAACCACACCAGCACATACAAGACACCACAAGATATGCAATTACAGCTCAATGTCTCAAACACCAACGTGCGATCTGCGCAATGTGCGCAATGTGGTACGGCTATCATACACGGCTTATGTACTGCTCTTGTACCCCAGAACGGGCTGCCTCCCTTACAAACATGAACACACCAGAATCTACTTCACTAAAAGAAACCCTAGGCTTAGGACCTACTAGGTAGTATTTCACGCGCACGCGAGGTTCTGCAACCTGCCTGCTGCGGCGAACACTCAGAATGCCCTCAGACCGGTTTTACTTCTCCATCACGGCAAACCAAATCAGATTGAACAGATCAATTCCGGCAACGCACCCACCGCACCACACAGCTAAAAAATGTCCCGTCGCCGGTCCCGGCAGGTATCCCAAACCAGTTCCGGCGGCGCAATGACCACGGGCAACCACCGGCCAAATAACGGAGGAAGGGGATCGAACCTCCAGTGGCGACCAGGGCTCGAGTGTCCGCTGGTTCGCTCGACCGTCAATCCCTCGGACGGACAAGACACTACAAGTCTCTTCTCGCCTCACCAGGCAAATTCTCCGATCCCTCCTTCCCCCCAAACCCCAAACCCCCTCCCGCTCAGCTCCTTGCGCTCGGAGCCCTGGCGAGCAGCACCTCCAGGAACGTGGACCGCAACCGCCGTACATCCTCCGCTAGCGCCGCCTGAACCTGATGACGTAATGATGACGAACGGGAGGAAAGGGGAGGGGGGTTGACATCACCCGGTAATACACCACCGTTACTACCACCACCACGGCACCGCCGGCAACGTCGTGGGAACAGGCGGCTTCAACAACAATAGCAGTATTTGAAGTGACAGCAGCGCCATTACCTACCGCCCTCAACAGTCAGGCGCCCATCAGGCGGGCAAAGCCAAACTGCTGGTCTCAGCTGCGTCTCTGGAACCTTCCGTCCTACCTTAACCCCACCAACAACAACAACCCCAACCCCAATCCACCGCCGAATCAAATACAGCGGACGGCGAGACACAACGGTGAGACATGAAACGGACTTACAAAGGGCTTGGGGCCGGTCAAACGGCGAATGTCCCGCAGGGAGAGGCGACGGACCTGCACCACCAGCAGCACCACCACCACCACCACCAACAACAACAACACCGCGCACAGAAAGGGTCAACAAAAGGATCAGCGGCGGAAGGTGCCTGGGAGGTGATGCAGGAAGGGCTTGTAGTCCACAAGCAAACCCAAACAAGCAGCATGCGTAGCCGGAGCCCCAAACGGTTAGTCGGCTATAGCTCCACTTCCCTCTCTATACCTATCATCCTTAAGGCAACTAGTTATTAACTACCAAGTAATCGCAGACTCTGCAAATTCATAAACCTCTGGCTCACATCATCAAAATTTGGATTTGTAGGAAATCTATTTAGCTATAGGAAAGTGATGTGAAGGGAGAACAAAAAATGCCATCCTCAAATAAGACTAGATAGTCAAAAGTTATCAATCAATTTATGTGGCCCCTATCGGGATCGAACCGATGACCTTGGCGTGCCGACTCACTGTATTAGCACCACGCTCTAACCAGCTGAGCTAAGGGGCCATGCGAAAACTTTCGCAAGGCCCTTTATAGACAATGATGAATACCTACTCGCATCATAAAATGGCCAACCATGCATGGCGGATAGCAGGGTCGACACGGTCACCACTCAGGAGGCATGGTTCCTCAACCACCGTGACGTGCCAGGCACAGCACTATGAAGGTTCGCGTGTGACCCCGAAAGCGAGCCGCGCCGCGCTGAAAGACTCACCACTGCACCACCGTCAAAGAAGAGGAAGCAGGGCACCGCACGCACGTTGTATAACCTTGACAAATCGCTTTTGTCCCCGTAATCCGTTTCCACGTTGTGCTGAACGAACACGACGCGTGCCTTTGCCCGGTGAGCCTGGGGCAGAACGATGCACCAGCGTGATTCCACTGAAGAGGCATGATGGCACCCGTGCGCTTCAAATGCAGTCGTGAATGAGCACTTACCTCGTTACGCAGCTGCTCGAAGCGCATAGCGGCGTCCTTGCAGACCCCACACTGCCGGGAGTACATGAATACAATAACGAGCTGGCTGCCTGCCCGTTCTATGACAGCGTCCAAGCTGCATGTATCAGCTACGGTTATTAATTTTCCTTCATCAATATCAGATGCCAAACGCTGCTGTCGGGCCTCGGCTTCCTCCTGTCGTCGCCATGCTGCCTCCAGCGCGCCTCGGCGGTCTATGTGCAAAGCCATGGCACGAACAACAGGACGTCGGGAGCAATACACGAATTTTCCTGGAAACATAGCGTGCGCTTTGCCGGTCTGCACGTTCCGATAGGGGCATCTAAACCCTAAGACCGACATCGCAGTTGGCCGTTTTCGGAATATTAATGGTAAGGTTGTATCCTTCCAACCTGGTGCTTCGACTTAACAGTTTTGTAGAGGCACCTTGGAGAAGCGAAGCCTTTTGACGTGGTTTGCTTCTCGGCGGGTAATTTTCAACGTTAATGCTATGAGCTTTACTATACAATGTCTAAAACATGGTAAGATAAGAATTATTTGTAACGCGGTATGCTACAAGCATGACGCATCCATGCACGACGGCGCAACGAATTTACACCGTTCGTGGCAACTGACTGGGGCTATGAAGCTGGGACACCAGCTTTTGGCTCCCTTTCGCTCCATGCTTAATTACGGCGCATTGATAGCATACAGGACGTGGCGCAGCAGTGCTTCGTGCATGCACCACACGACAGCACTCAAACACTGAACCGAAACGTTCCAGCTGACCCAAACGCAATGCCGCGTTGCACTTTCTATTCTCAATTGCATAGCACCACGCCAATTAATAAATTGCTAGGTCGTTCAAATATGCTCTCATGTCGGAGAGGGTGACTGTACTACACCGGCTTCGGAAAGGGCCATCATCCCATCAAGGAATTAAGGCACAAAAAACCATTCACTTCGTTACCAAAACTATTTTTTATTAAATAAGGGCTGACATAAAGCTGCATCCAAAATACCCATCTTCCCCCTTCCGACAGAGAAAAGAAAACACCCTTCAAGCCGTGTGAAAGCAGCTTGTTGTCCACGCGCCTTATCAACTATACCTGCATTCATATTAGACCAAAGTATCCTGACGCACATGGTTGCTACAGTAGCGCACAGGCTGCCACTCAAGGTGAACATCCCCGCGGGTGAGGCAAGCAGCCAAGCAACTTCTAACCAACGTCCTCTCAGTCTCCTCTAAGGCGCCAGTACCCGACATTGAACTCATTATGTCTCTTTACCAGACTGGCCGCGGCGAAATTCCCTCCTCCTCCTCCTCCTCCATCTCCTCCATTACAGCTCCCGCGTCCCAGCGCCTGGCCCTTCGAACCCCTTTTTCAATCCATCACCATACAATAAACACATAAAAGTTGGACCCCAGTCCGTCACCTTCGCGTTCCCTTCTAAAGTAACTCAAAAAAATCAATTGTCCACCAACCTGGCCTACGCCCTCCCCGCCCGCCCGCGGCCCCTAATCCCCAGGGTCGCCCCTCCACGCAGCCGCTCTGCCTCACCCCAAATCACACCGCCGACCACACACACACACACCTTCCCCCCTCACCCCCTTCCGGCCCCGGGGTTCTGGGGGTCCCAGCGACCCAATCCCAAAGAAGCCAAGACCGCACACTTTCGTCGCGGCAGCAGCTGCACCCTCTTCCCCCGGCCCCGCCCCGGGTTCGAGCCCGGGTCCGGGGAGTAATGCGGGACATGCGGGGTCCACCACGGCGGGCGGGTCCCGTCGGGCGGGAGCTGGTCCCATCCTTGGCCCCGCGCTGAGTGACCTGGTGGCCAGGTTTCGGAGGCTGCAAAACGGATCAGACATTCGTGGAATTGCTTTGGAAGGTGCTGGGGCTGGGGTTGGGGGGAGAGGAGGGGGGAGGGGAGGGGGGAGAGGAGGGACCGTAGTGTTGGAGTGGTGGGACGGTGGTGATGATGGGCCACGCTCCTCCGAAACCAGTTGGCGTGTTCCGATTGATTAGAGATAATGTTTGCACCATTATCATATATGGTATGATTCCCTCCCCCTCGCCCACTTCCTCCTATACCTGATTGGCGCCCCCTCCCCCCTAACCCCCCTAAACCCCCCTAACCCCATCTTCACTACTTCATCCCGAGGTCGCCGCCTTCAAGAACGCCTTTTGGTCAGTTCTACTTCTGGTACACTCTTGCCCTGGCAGCAGCTTCATTCGTTCGTGGTTCGTCTTTTCCCCCCCTAACCCCCTTCCCCCCCCAAGGTGTACCCAACGAGCCCGTCACTCTGTCCCCTGGTGCCGTATTCTTCATTGGGGTGGCCTTCGCCCGGTGGCTCCGGAGCAAGGGGCAGGGGGCGCCCAAGGTGTCGGTGAGTGACCTAGGGCTATGGGGGGTGCGGGTAGGGGTGTGGGTGGGGGGGGAGGAGGGGGAGAAGGGGGGAGATCATACACAAGATAGCCAGGAATGAAATGTTGGGGGCCGGGGGGTTCATGTGGGGGATCCGGGGGTTATCCCCCTTTGACTCCCCCCCTTAACCCCAACCCTCAAACGCTAACACCACAGACATACACACCTCAACCCCCTAACCCCACACACCCCTCCCTAGGTGGGTCGAGACCCTCGTCTCTCCGGGCCAATTCTGGAATCGGTCTTTGCTGCTGGGCTACTGCAGGTAAGTACGACTTGGTGTACGACAAGCTTGGTGTACGGCTGAGGGTCCATACGACCGGGGCTAGGGTCCGTACTTCCCCTCCCCCCACTACCACCCAACCCCATTACCACCACCACCCCACCTCCAATACTACCGCAGGGGGGTGCCGCGGTGGTTCATTTGTTTGGATTGGCCACCACTCCAGCCATGTTCTACTCCATAGTATTGTCAGGTGCGCGTACGTGTGTGTGTGTGTACATGTGTGTGTGTGGGAGATATGGCTGGGTGGGCGGAGGGGAGGGAGCAGGGAAGGGAGTGAAGGGGAGTTGGGAAAGTGGGAGGAGGGGGAAAGAGGGAGGATAGGAAAGGGGGCTTTCGGAGGGTTTGGGGGGAATGTGTGTGTGTATGTGTGGTGTTTTCTCCCCATCTTACATTTAGGCCTCCCCCCGCCTCCCGCTGGCCCGTTTCCCCCTTCCCCAGGTTGCTTATGGGGCAGTTATTATGTACTGACGTATGTATTTATGTATGTGTACATTTATGTATATACGTACGTACGTACGTATGTATCTTCCCGTACGCCACGCCACTGGCTTATCATGTGACGGCGACGCCGCTGCACCACCGTAGGTTGCAGCTCCCGCTCCAGCTTCACGTCTCTGGAGATCCCGCCGTGGGAAATGGAGATCCAAAATCCCAAAGCCCAAATCCTGAAACTTCCCCCATCTCTCTCCTCCCCTCCGCCT